TCTAGCCCATAGCTCATCTTTCCAACTTATTATCTCACCAAAAACCCTAAAACTCAACCAATAGAAGAGATTCACAAGGAAAAAGGCGATGTGGTTACCTCCAGAAGATGAGGGTTTTAAGGGGCTCTCAAAGATTGCAAAGAGGCCAAAGGAGGATAAGGCTCCTTTAAATAGAGGTGCAAACCCCGGAATTTAGGGTTTCATCTGCCAACTCCTACTCACCGAGTCCCAATATGGACTCGTCGAGTAGGTCACTTAACACACGATCCCACCCCGCTGCTATTCGACGAGTAGGTCAACCAAATCGTTGAGTAGAGTTTAACCCAATATATCTTATTTAAACAATACCTGATAATTGGGGCGTTACAGTGTACACCTTGCGTACCACTCTAGTACGCTTAGTGTACTACCCCTTCAAGCAGTACGTGTTGCGTGCGTGAAGTTACACACGACGTACAAGCAAGATGTGCACATTTAACCGTTAAGTGCTTAATACTTGGGATTTCAACATGCAACTTGAGATCTGAGTCCATTAAGACGTCTTAAGGCATAAAGTGAGTTTTTAATTACTATAACACTCCTATGGTGCATATACAACCCTAATGCATTGGATCTAAGTTTTCTCAAGTTATACATGCAACAAAAAAATTATCCAAAGCATGAAATCTATCTAGCATACAAATTTGGTACATGAATCAAAGAACTAGTTAGAAGAATACCTCTTATCTGTACCAAGTAGAATTTGGCATTCCAAGAGCTTAGCACCTCAAATGTGATGCCTCAAATAAGTCACAAACACCATGAACAATTAGATGAATATGAGAGACAAGTTATGAACCTAAAATCAGCTAGGATCTTCATGGAATTCACAAGTCACGATTTTAGGGTTTAGGAAATACATATATAGTTAGATCTAGTCAAATTTCATCTTTTGGGTAAAGTGGTGTCGAAGAAGGAACATAGACGATTGGAGGTGTGATGTGCGTTTACATGGGGAGTGTATAATCTTGACAGTTCAGTAATTATTGTTATAAAGAGTGTATGTGAACAAAATAAGATGGCCTGATCATACTTGGTATGACTTTATGGCATGGTTCTTGTTTGACTTATTTCTTTCGAATTGGAACAAGCATTTAATATTCTATCTTATTTTCTGGTTATGTACAACCATTTTTTCGTCTGATGATGTGTCAGTGGCAACCTGGAATATGGAAGCGTTTTATGTTATAGAATTATATGTCTCCTGTTGTTTTTAGCAATTATTGAATGGGGTGTTAAGTGGGATCCTACAGGTCTATGAGATGATGATCGTGTTCCTATAGGCCCATTGGGTGTTGGCCATAAGTCTTCATGCATGTGGTCAGATGATGGTAAGAACGATGTAGAACCATGAGCTTTTCATTCTAATGGTTACATAGTGTCATGATGTATCATGAACCATCATGGATTCTGATGGGTTTCGAGCCTCACTATATCAAATAAAATAGTAGCGGAAACAATAAACAAATTTGATCTAACACTCGAAACAATTAGATATAATCTATGTTAATATATGCAACTTATTTAGAACTCTATATGTCAAAAGACACAAACCTTTGACTCCACCATAGACTTTTTCTTTTGACAGACCAGCTGATTGAACTAGAGAACCCAAAGTAGAGTTCCTCTCTTATAATTGCACCCAAGACGCAAAACTTCAGCAGATCTGAACACCTCACCACGAAGCCACGAAGCAACATGATGCAAGCTTAAATCGACGACACTATTCATCGTCACGATGTGACTGAAGAGGTGTCACATCATGAGATAGAGCCTTCATGTTTTCTAGGGTTTCTCATGGGTTCTGACTTTTGTAGTAAGAAGGCTAAGTTTTCATCCATCAAAAACTGGATTTGACTCTTTTATTTATAGGGATGTGTTTTGAAACCCTAAAGATAATTACCAAATCTATTAGTAATTATCTAAACTTTCGATAATTATCCAAGAATCAAACCATTATATAATATTCCATATTCTCCATGTTTGATAACTAATTAATTAATCTATTAGTCAATTAACAAAACAAAGTCCCTCAAATAAATATCTTTTTAGTTCTGCTTTATTTTGTTCTTGATTGTAACCTAAAAGGACATTACTATTTATAGTAATATTATCGGGCTTGTTATGGATATGGGCACTATTCTCCATCATATTCCGCATACGCAAGTTAGACCCGACAGTTGTGTAATGGAAACCCTTGTGTTGGTTCGTTAGTTGTTTTGGCGTAGTTGGGTGTTTAAGCAGTATGAAAATACCACGAGTGGCTCAGTAGATGATGGGTTTAGGTCAGGCTTTGGTAGGATGTTGACTTGTAGGAAAAATTTATGGTTGTATATCAATATCTCCTTGTTAAGTTTTCTTATGGATTCTGGTTCATTTTGTGAGAGTGGTTTCGTGAGAGTTAACTACCAGTGATGGGTTTTGTTGTCGGTCTTTTGAATGAATTGTAAAAGGGTTGTACACCTAAGTTGTTATGGGTTATATGATTCAGTACGAGATTTAGGATTGGCCAATGTTATGCTCTTGGGAGCAGTTGGTTAGTGATGACTTATCATGAAGTCAAGTATGTATTGGAGGACTTCTAGGCACGATTTCCAAATTTGGGATGGGTCGGACTTCACGATCTGATTGATTGGGTGTTCACTCTACACGGTTTAGTAGATTTTATAGTTGGGAGTAGGGGTAGGTACGAAAAATTGATGATCATTAGTCATTCTTTAGAGATTCAAAGTTTAGACTGATGGGTTCCTGGTTTTGTGGAGCATGGTGACGGAAAGGGTCAACGGATCCAACTTTGACAGTTACCTAGTTTGAGTGTCTATCACTATGAGTTGGGTCTTACAGTTCGGGAAAGAAAGGTAGTTGTTCCACTTGCGTGTTTTCAAATGGTTAGGTTTCCTACTAGCATTAGTTGGCATCAATATCGTGTGTTCTCACTAGAGGATTGAATCTGCATTTGGGTCGGAAGATGGTCGTCTGTTTAGAGAAATGTTCCAAGTGCTTAAATGAATTGGATTTTGATCTTTGGGAGTTTTTTCTCAGGAATGGGGTATGCACATGGATTTGGAATCCATATGCTTATGGTTGTAGAGTAAAGTGTTGGAAGATGTGTTGTTTCCTATAAAGGAGAGTGGGTTTACAAAACTCACAAGGGGTTCAGAAAGTGTTTAAGGAATAATAGGTAAGGACGGATTTCGAGGATGGAATCTAATTCAAGTGGAGGAGAACTGTAGCACCTATTCCACATATACTTCCTTTAATATTGAATCATGTTAGACTTTCATAATATGGAATTTTGTGGTGACCACAACATGGTAGATGATGCACTACAACGTGGTCACAACTAAGTTGAACAACGTGCTTTATACGCACCACGACGTGGCAAGGTCTTGCCATGACATGGTGGTAGCCATAGTACAAAACCTAATTTCCCTAATTTTGAAGCCCTGTTTAAGGGATATGATGGCTAAGGTTTGCTCACCCTCAGCCTTCATCACCTCCCTTTCGACCTAAAGCAACCCTAGCCTCGATTGTTGACCTCTTGAAGATTTTTGGTCGTTTTTGGTTGTATTTAAGAAGAAGAAGATGTTCTTGGTGCATAGATCCAACAAGCAAATCTCCTTATCACCTTCTTGCACACATTTTGGACTTTTGTGGCTCGTAGTGCCTGTTTTTGCTTCGTATGAGTTGTGTTGTTGTCAACTAGCTTTCAATGTGAGTTTTCTCACTATATTTTGTATTGAACTATGTATCCTTGTATTTAGGATGTTGGTATGTTATAGTGACCTGTTATATTGGTAGACCTATTATGATTACAAGTGTTTTTTAATGTTAACTGTTTGTTTGAATACATTGACATATTATGGTTGGGTTGAGGCGATCTTGTTGTATGTTGAAGAATAAGATACACGGGCGACCCAATTTATATTATAGGCCCAAGGATAGTGGTCCAGTACTATGATGTAGGCTCAGAAGAGCAGTCCAAGTGCATTATAGGCCTTGTATGGTGGTACAGTTATAATGAAGGCTCATATGTACATGCATTGTATGTGTATTGATATGTGGGGTATTTTAGGAATTCTCTCTAAGCTTTAGCGTACGTTTGTGGATTTAACTGTTTTTCAGGAGTGTGAAGGTGGGAGTGTACTCATACACACACATCTATAGTTTTATGATTCGAGATTCCACATTGTTTTCCCTTATATGCCTGATTTTGAATTATGGTCTATGAACAAATGGTTTGAGTTGGATGTAACTTTATAAAATTGGTGTTTATTTTACTTTGAAAATGAAAATTTTATTTTGTAATTCGGGATGTTACACAGTCACTATGGAAGCTATTAAGATGCTTCTTAATGAACTGTAAGAAGAGAACCATCAAGAGATGAAAAGATTGTTGGATGCTCATTTAGGAGGCACCCAAAAAACCCTCACATATTGATGAGGTTGCACTGTTTGTTGTGGGTGCATCATATGTTGTAGGTGCACCATCTGTTGAAGGTACCCCATCTTTTATTAGTGCAAGGTTTGTCATAAACTTATACCGAACTCAAGGTTCATATCGTGTTACATGCCATCCAACACAGTCAAACAAGATGGGATGTTCTTTTAGATCATCCATGGCATGATAGCCAAATGAGTATGGGGGAGTCGTGACCCAAAAGTAACTATGAAGTGGATCACTGAAACAAATCGAGTTCTCAAAGCTAATGGATACCGGGATGATCAAAGAGTTATCTAAGTTTTACAAGTCCTTAGGGGAAATAACCCTTATTTGGTGGGAAAGAGTATGCCAAACCTTGGGAGATGATGATGAAGCAAATATGTCTTGGGATGAATTTGCTTAGTAGATAAAAGCTAAGAACTATGCTCCTTGTAATATTGAGATGGTTGATGAGTTCTTTGACTTGAAGAAATGGGACCTATCAATAGAGGAGTACATGAAATAATTTCCGGATAGGATGTTTATTATTAGAGATGTTCTTCTGGCTGAGAGTGATTGTATTAGCCTCTTTGTGAAAGGATTACTTGTTGAATATGAGGTTAAAGTGAAGAAAGTTGACACTTTAGATGATGTTATTGTGGTTGCTCAAAATATTAAGGATACGATTATGAGGAAGGTAAGAAATAAGCAAAGGGTAGAGAAGAAGAGAGCCCAAAGCAAGGTGTGCTACAAATGTGGTAATCCTAACCACGTGTCCTTTAAATATAAGAAGAAAGTTTGTGATGTCGATTGTTATTCTTGTCATGAAAAATGTCACATCAACAAAGCTTTCCTAAAGAAGAAGAGTGAAGTTATAGTGCAGAATATGGGGAAGAAAGTGAAGCCAACCGAAGTCAAAGCTCGTGTTTTTCAGTTGACTGCCGAGGAAGCGAGGGAGGCTCCGGGAATGGTGTCAGGTACACTGCTTGTAAACTCCTTGTCTGCAAGTTTTTTATTTGATTCGGGTGCAGATTATTCATTTGTGTCTCATGAGTTTAGTAAAAAATTTAGTAAGCCTTTAGTGTCTCTAGAAGAAACATATGTGATAGAGGTAGCATCTGAAGATCATGTTAGTATAGGTCACAGTTATCATGATTTTTACATAGAGATAGACGGGGAAAGGTTTGATGTTTAGTTGTTGTCGATTGGTGTTAGAGGGTTTGATGTGATTCTTGGGATGGATTGGATCGAAAAGAACCATGCCAAGATCGTCTGTTATAGTAAGTGTTGGTGGAAGCATCGGGCAGAAGAAATATAATTATATACGGGAAGAGGAACCAACGTATGCAAAGTGTGATCACAACAATTAAAGCTCAGAAGTGTGTAAGAAAATTAAAGGTTGTGAGTAGTTTTTGCTGTACATTATGGATTCGAGAAAAGAAAAAAAGAAATTTGAGGATTTGAAAATGGTTAGAGATTTAATGGATGTTTTCCCTAATGAGCTACCCGGTTTGCCCCCAGCAAGATAGGTGTAATTTAGCATTGATTTAATTCTCGGTGCTAGCCCGATTACTAAATCTCCTTATCTCCTAACTCCTTCGGAAATGCGAGAGTTAATGTCCTAGCTTCATGAATTATTAGACAAAGGTTTCCTTCGTCTGAGTTCTTCTTAATGGAGTGTCCCAGTGTTTTTTGTAAAGAAGAAAGATAGTTCCATGCGAATGTGTGTAGATTACCAAAATCTCAACAAGGTCACCATCAAGAACAAGTACCCATTGCCAAGTATAAATTATATGTTTGACAAGTTTCAATGGGCGGATTATTTTCTAAAGATCGATCTCTGATTCGGGTATCATCAAGTGCGGGTGGAGAGAAGCGATGTAGAGAAGATGGTGTTTAGAACCCGTTACGGTCATTATTAGTTTCTTGTGATGTCATTTGGTCTAATAAATGCTTCCACTATATTCATGGACCTCATGAATCAATTGTGTGTTACGGTTATTATGAGTTTCTTGTGATATCATTTGGTCTAATAAATGCTTTCACTATATTCATGGACCAGTTTCTTGTGATATCATTTGGTCTAATAAATGCTTTCACTATATTCATGGACCTCATGAATAGATCTTTCTTTGAATCAACTATGTAGGCCTAAAACACAGTTTTCACAAAATTTAACTACTAATTAATTGAATAAAAATGCATGAACATGTGATGATATTTGGTGACCACCTTAATTAACAACCATCTTTTAGTTTTATTCATCAATTCGAACCAACGACAATTTCAATGGCACCTTTGTTGTGATCACCAAAGAGTGCTTTCAATCACTAATAGACTTTCTTATTTATAAAGATAATAGGATCGGTTACAAAGGTATAAACCCATGTAAAATACCATATGTAACGATTTGCAATGATGAAGAAGGCACCCTTATACACCTTTAAATGTTCTTTTTTCATACCACCTATGGCGTCAAACACATGAAAGCCAAGCATTTTATAAACCTCCTCCTGCTTTAACCGATGGTTGTTCGATTATAAAACGGCCCTCAAACCAAAAACCAAATGCACCAGCAATCACACAAACATAGCAACGTAACAAATCTTACTCCTTTTCGATCAATAGTTAATTTCTGCTATGAAAATGATGAGTTCATTGAAGCTTCGGCTTCCTTTGTTGCTGATCATCATCTCTTTGACCTTTGAATCTCCGGTGGCAGGGCAGCAACATGCAATGGATATGCCGGCTCATTCATCAAGCTGGGAACCAACTCCCAAACCTTTGATACCAGGTTTACCTCCATTCCAAGTCCCCACGGCTAGACAACCGAAAAGAGTGAGATGCCTTCTTCCTTTTTTCCCGCTATGCTTCAATCTGTGGCATTCTTGTCCAATCGATTGCTCAAACCACTGTTTCATGGATTGTGTTTCCTGCAAGCCAGTTTGTAGTAAGTTGTTTTTAATTACATCTGTTCATGTCACAAAGAGATTAATAAACAAGTTAAGTTTCAATCCAATAAATTATACATATAGTAACTTGATCAGTTTATTACTTCGTACATATTAATTAAGGTTGCAATATGCCGGGAGCTGTGTGTCAAGACCCACGATTTGTAGGAGGAGATGGTGTCACATTCTACTTCCATGGTCGTAAAGATCAAGACTTCTGTCTTGTATCCGACGCCAACCTTCACATCAATGGTCACTTCATCGGAAAACGAAACCCTAAACTCACTCGTGACTTCACATGGGTGCAATCCATTGGAATATTGTTTGACGATCACAAACTCCTTGTCGAAGCCAAGAGAACGTCGACATGGGATGATAGCGAAGAACATCTTTTTATATTTTTCGACAATACTCCTCTATCCATTGAAGGGAAAAACTGGATTTATCGTAATTCGTCTCTACAGATCTCTAGAACAAGCCCGACTAATGGTATTGCAATTGAAGTAGAGAACAGTTTCAGGATTACAGCCACCGTGGTGCCGATTAGTGCGGAAGAATCAAGAGTTCATGGTTATAATATCACAGATGATGATTGTTTCGCTCATTTGGATTTAGGGTTTAGGTTTTTTAATCTAAGTGATGAAGTGGATGGGGTTTTAGGGCAAACATATGGGAGAAATTATGAGAGTAAGATTAAGGTTAGTGCGAATATGCCAGTTATGGGTGACAAACCCAAGTACTTGACGTCGGATATATTTGCTACTGATTGCCCTGTTTCCCGATTCGTTAGTCGGAATGCGATTCCAGTGTTGGATTCTGGAGAACGATTCTAGTCTGGTTTTTGAATGCAATACATGTACCAATCACAAATAAATAAAAATAAGAAATGCATTTTTAAATGCAACTCTCTCTTTTAAACCATTGTCTTTGCTTTCAAAGATAACTTTATGTTAGGGAAGAACTATACAATCAACAAATCTAATTGAAATAAACAAAAGAAATTCAAATATATATATATATATATATATATATATATATAATACAAGAATTAGATTTATGAAAACATGCTTGAATTAATGTTGACTACACAGAAAATATATCACAAATATGTATAGACTGAGGTCTGCTTTTACAGTATCCTAAGACAAAAATTTCTCTATCTTGAGGATACAAAAACTAATTCAAGAACAAATCTTAAATCCATCGAAATTCACCATGATTCTTTTTGATATCAAGAACGATTTTTTAGAAAAAGTGTTTGTGGTTCATTAGCCTCTTAAATTATGTCATAAATCCTCCATTTATAGGCTTGCAATGGTGGTTATAAACCACCAATCGAAATTAACTGTTAAAAAACTAACTGTACTTAATCTTTTATCTAACAGAATTTGTTTTATAATTAATAAATATAAATTAATTAATGATTAATTAAATTCGGATTATATATATAAAAATATTATTTAATCAAGAAGAATCCAATGCCATATCTTTGACAATTAATATTTAATAATCCAAGAATACTTACCAACCCAATTTGACTAGTCCAACATTACAACTAAAACCCAATTTACATAACCCATTACTTGATCCATTTAAATAAATGAGTGTAACACGTCTTATAAAGTGGGATAAAGTTTTTTCTTCCACCAATGTGGGATAAGTCCCACATTGTAGTTTTGTAGACCAAAGTTCCAACACATTATACTATCTACCATTCCAACACATTATACTATCTACCACGGATAATCAACTAATCACGAGGTCTATAATACAATTATAACATAAAATCATATAGTATAATGATAGATTTTGTATTGAAATATTAGATGAGGATTCAAAAAAGATTTCTTTGAGAATCCATCAAACACAAATAGAAGTTGACATTCGATGGAAAAAGGAAAGGAACCGCATAAGCATAATAAGAAACCCAAAAATTCTGGAATAATGATCTTGTGTGCGGAAAGAATATATACCTTTTAATTTTTAAAGATCAAATGACTATTATACCCTCAAAGGCTCGAACTTATTACCGTTTCTCTTCCTTGTTTCCTGATACGATTCATAGAAACGCCTCAATTACAATTTCTTCTCCATCTCCCATCTTCTACTATCTACTCTCTAGCCACCGCCGCACCTCTCCGATCTCCGGCGCCACCTCTTCTCTACTTAGCCCTGCTCTACTCAGCTCTCCGATCAGGTAATGAATTTTACTCGACAACGTTTTTAGGGTTCTACAAAATAGTCGACGGATATCACTTTTGCTGAACTGGCCCAGTGGCCCTCAATCTGCAGCTGCTCCGGTGATCTCTTTCCAGAAACGGGTCCTTGTTTGGCGGAGACCACTTATCTGAGGTGAGTTACCCCGAATCACTGTTAGGTTCTTATTTGAGTAGACAAGGAATTTTGACAATCAATCCATCAAAAGGGATAGTGAGAAGTGAAACACTTATAAAAGGATTTTTTTTTTTTTTTTTTTTTTTGTAAGTTGACCACAATTAATGAAAACATTACCGACTCTTAATTCTTCGTTGTTTTTTCCCTCTTCGATAGTTGCCATGGCAGTCTCGTTTTCCAAAATTAACTGGTTTTCTGCTGTTTAAATTTGCTCCTCGAGTTTATTACAAACGATCCTCGTAGGCTCGTATATAATGACATCCCCTGTTTCTTTGTTCAATTTTATTGATTTTCAACGAAGATCATCATAATTACCGTTTGGATCTCCAAGAATCATGTTTTCTGAATTTGATTTTCAAGCAAGCACCCTAGCATAACAAATCAAGAACCTTTCTTTCTGCTACTAGGTGTTTGTTAAAATGCCAAAACCAGATTTTTTACATGTTACAACCATATTTGTAACCCTACACAAATTGTTTAACTGAACTCAATACAAAATCAATCTTTTAAATGTGCAAAAGTTCATATCGACTCTATGTCTCCCAGACAAAGCCGGCCATGGTCAAACCAATTTGGCACAACCAGAGCTTCTTCCTCCTATCAACATGTACACTCATCTTCATCTCTCTCCTCCCACTAACAACACAACAAGCACCTGAAGTCGCTGAAACATCCATCACCCGTTTCCAACAATACTTGAGAATAAAAACAGCTCACCCAAACCCAGACTACTCCACTGCAGTTTCCTTCCTCAATGTCTTAGCCAAATCCATCCCCAACCTCATAACCAAAACCCTCTACCTGACCACACCACAAAAACCTCTCCTTCTTATCACTTTCTTAGGCTCAAACCCTAATCTCCCATCCATCCTCTTCAACTCCCACCTTGACTCAGTCCCTGCTGAACCCTCAAAGTGGGCCCACCCACCTTTCTCTGCTATCAAAACCGATGATGGAAAAATCTTTGCTCGAGGTGCCCAAGATGACAAATGTATTGCTATCCAATACCTAGAAGCTCTCAGAAACATCATAAAAAGAGACCCTGAGTTCAAACCCATTAGGACACTTCATATATGTTATGTCCCTGATGAGGAAATCGGTGGGTTTGATGGGATGCAAAAGTTTGTGGAATCAAAAGAGTTCAAAGAAATGAACGTAGGATTCTTTCTAGATGAAGGACAAGCTTCAACTACCAATAAATATCGTGTGTTTTATGCTGATAGATCTCCATGGAATCTTGTAATCAAAGCTGTTGGAAAACCAGGACATGGATCAAAGATGTTTGATGACACTGCAATGGAGAATTTGATGAAGAGCATCGAGGTTGTGTCAAAATTTAGAGAGAATCAGTTTGATTTGGTGAAAACCGGGGTTTTAGCAAACTCCGAGGTTGTTTCTGCAAATCCGGTTTATTTAAAAGCGGGAACTCCTTCTAAAAATGGAAACTTTGTGATGAACATGCAACCTTCTGAGGCGGAAGTGGGTTATGATGTGAGGTTGCCACCAACTGTGGATCCGGATCTTTTGAAGAAACGGATTGCTGAAGAATGGGCACCTAAAACAAGGAACATGAGTTATCATATTGTGGAGAAAGGACCATTGAGAGATTATATGGGGAGACCTTTGATCACTGCAACTAATGATTCGAATCCATGGTGGAATGTTTTTAAGGATGCTGTTGAAGCATGTGGTGGGGTGCTTGAGAAGCCTGAGATTTTGTCTTCTACTACTGATGCTAGATATATAAGGCAACTTGGGATCCCGACTTTTGGATTTTCACCTATGAAGAACACCCAAATTTTGCTTCATGATCATAATGAGTATTTGGAGGAAACGGTGTTTTTGGAGGGTATTAAGGTATATGAATCCATCATCAAGTCATTGAGTTCCTTTGAGGGATGAATCTATGATCATCTTGATTACTTGTGTATTTATACATAATGTCATTTGCCCGAATTTTATGTCTCATTGTTGTATACTAACTTTTTGATACTTTGTTTCAATAAGATTAGTTTATGGTTGTGTTGTTGATGAACGTTAAGATTGAAGTTGTTGGGATCTTACTTTAGCAATCTTAATGTTATCCGAAGGGATATCAAACACTTGGTCTCATAAACAAGTGTAAAACCCAATCAACAAAGCATATAACAAACTAGAATATGAAAACACGATAAAATGACTAATAGTGAGAGCAACACATGCCAAGGCATAGGAAATGTGCATGACAAAAAAAAAATTAAAAATAAATTACTTACCAGACACGAGCATTTTACGTGGTTCCAACATTCGGAAGATGGTGCATATCACAAGGAGAAACATACGACTTATATTATTAATCAACAATAAAAAAGGGTTACAAATCACTTTCATGTGACCAAAATAAAGATACAAAACCATTCATCTACAAAAAATTGCCAATGAGGAAATACACCAAGATATATGTCAATAAAAATAATAATAATAACCTAAAAATGCCTTAAATCGTCCAAACAAAAGCTCAATCCTAGACCAAGTCATAGAACCAAGTAACCTTGAAGGGCCTAATTGGAAAATCAACAATTCAAAGGTTGGATAAGCTAGTAGCGCAAGTAACATAACTTAACACAAAATTGCTAGAATTTGTATGTCAAAACTCAAATGTTTGGATCAAAAAATTTGGACTCACTCCAATGGTCCGATACTTTGATTTTGTTGCAAGTTTGGTTTAATTTATTTTGAATTTTTTCAAAATTATGAATTTATCATATGTATTTTCATTTTCTATTCTTTATTTAATTTAACATTTTTCTAAATTAAAAAAAAAAAAAAAAAAATCACCCCACCCCTACCGATTACTAACTCAACCACCCATTTCTCACTCCTAATAACTCCATCTCTCTCTTCATATTGTCATATAGAACCACCATCTCCAGCCAGACACCACCGCTAGCTGGAAAACCAAAACAACCGCTGACAGTCGGAACCCTAGAATTATCCAGCTTTGACTTCGTTAGAGAAAAAAATGAGAGTTGAATGGGGTAAAGAGAAATTGACATTTGTCTCCGACGATAGCTTCGTCTATCCCCTTCTCTGTCTGTGGCTAGGACTGTTTCCTCCGTCTGTACGTCATCGGTGAGAACAGGGTGAGGAGAAAACGACGATCTCCATTTATGAAGGGATGAAGCGAGAACGAAGATGACAAAACACCCAAACCAACTACGACGACGTAAAAAACCATCAGAGTCGTCCTTCTCCGACTTAGACCTTCTATTTGTTGTCATCGAAGGGGTGTTCGTTGACGGAGGCAACAAAATCCATTGTCATCGTCTGTAACCCAAGTGAGAGAGAGAGAGAGAGAGAGAGAGAGAGACGCCATTGTAGGATCTACAAACAGTAACTTGTTCAGATCTAAAACCTCCGTGGTAGGAGGTAGATCCGACTCCAGCATCTTCAAATCGAAGGGAAACAGATTTTGAGAGAAGGTGATGAATCTTCATGTCGACTTTCAGATTTGGAAGCCGTCATCAGAAATGTTTCAAGATCAGCGGAGAGTTTTCGGCGGAGGATCATCGACAGTACACCGATTGTCACATGGTCGGTCAATTTTCAGAGAGAGAGAGAGAGAGATTTTATCTTTGTTTTATTTTTAATTGTTTTTTAATTATTGTAATAAAAGAAATTTTAAAAATAAAATAATAAGGACAAGTTCATCATTATAAAAAATTTCAAAATTTTTGAATCAAACTACCAAACATATAAGTTATGAAATTTGATATACCATATGAACCATTCTTACAATTGTGTCTCATTTAAATTTCTTAAAGAGTTGTGAAAAGAAAGCGTTATGTATCATCAAAAACAACAATTTTGTGATGGAAGCCTTATCAGATAAACTTAACTCCATATTTTTAGGACAAAAGAAACATGTCAAATAATCTTGTAATTTTCAAATATATCATAAGGTGAATGTATGTATTTTCTTTCTTGGTTGTTTTTTATTGTTCCAAATACAATTTTCAATGTTCTCTCTTCCCTCTTTTGTTTAAACATTATGTTATAATTATAAAAATAACATAAAATTCGTAGAACACGACTACGCAATATATATATATAAATATATATATATATATATATTATATATATATATATATATATATATATATATATATATATATATATATATATATATATATATATATAAACAAGTAGAAGGATTAGTTAGAAAAGCTTCAAAGTTCAAACCGTTTGGTATTTGTAAAGGGAAGTACAGGTGTACTACATTCGTAGTAGTACAAGGTATGTGTTGAAGTTTTATTTTCATTAGATCCCAACTACCATCTCACAGTTAGGTAGATTTGGTAGTCTTTCCCACAGTTTCTTTTTAGCAGAAGTCTTTTTTTTTTTTTTTTTTTTATAATATATAAAAATGTATTCATAACAATGTGACTTTTTATTTTAATTATAAAGACATGTGGTAAATTAATTAGTTTTTGTGTTATGTTTTTGTCCACGGATGATGTCTACGTAGATTATATAGTTGTTGTGGCTTAGGCAGACAAACATTAGGGCAGGGCAACTGCCCCACAAAATTAATAACCATTGTTAAGAATTTTTATGACTTTTGCTGATAAGTTTGCAATTGTCCTTTTAAAAATTATAAGATAGAAATAGAACCTTTAAACTCAAAGTTTATACTTCTTAGACTCTTATAATTTCCATCACACCTACAAGAATTCAATATCGGTCCATATTAAAAACGTGAATCTACATAAACTCATTTGTACATTTTCATTTATATACTATAAATATCTACAAATATTTTTTAAGGGAACTGAATTTGCCACTCATGCTTTTTATCCATCTATGGAAAAACTAAGTTATTGGCAGAAATGTCCCTTATTTTAATTGAGAGAGAGAGAGACCTTGAATATGTTTCCAAATAACAAAGGCACTCCTTCGTTTTTCGTTCTTTGTTCTTCCTTCCTCACTTCTTCAAAAATTGCCATTAAATAGATTATTACGATCACAAAATATGAGACGATTTCCCTCTAAATGGCAAAACAAAATCCTCTTCAAACCCTATAAACAAGGGATGCACTAAATTTCAATCGATTAAACCATGGTTTGAATCGATTAATCTGCATTGATAGTGTGAAAATCAAGTCTATTTTAATCAGAGCTCAAATCAATTGTATTGAAAGTTTTTTTTGTTGTGTGGGATTTCTTCCTTTATTTTTTTAGCTGTGCAATTTCTTTATGTTTTTTTTGGTATACGGTTTTTTCATGTGCTTTTTTCCTCATATGCTTTCTTCCACCATGTATTTGTGTATGTTTCCCCGTCTAATACGTGGTTATATTCTTTTCATGCTTTTTGTTCTATTGAATTTAACAAATGAATGTAAGCAAACAATTGTTTTTTCATGTTCATTTTTGGATAAATCACTAGAATCCTTAAGAAGCATTATAATCAGACTAGAGAGTATTGATGACCTTCAGATGTGTTTCTTAATAAAGTATTTGTTATGTGGATGTATGAATGTTTCTTAATAAAGTATTTGTTATGTGGATGTATGAATGAATTACATGCATTGTTTTCACTAAAGTATTTTGTATATAAAAGTATATTTTGTATCAAATTTTAATTTAGTTTCATCGTTAGATTGTGACATATATATTTCAATAGAAGTATAACTAAAAAAATGTATTTATTTATTATCATATATTAAAAATCAAACAAATGTAATAAATGTAATAGTTGTTTCAACAAAAAAAATTATAAAATAGATAAGACTTGAGGTTAAAAATTATTATGCATTGCAAAAAAAAAATAGTATATATATACAAAAAAGCTACCATTGATATTCATTTTTGCAATTTAACCATCCAAACTTGAAACTTGTTATTGTATGTGTTTACCTGAAAAATGAATCAAATTGCAAATAATAACCGGTTTTAATGGTTAAATTGCAATAAATAAATAAATAACAAAAAATCAATGATAATTTTTTTATCAATAAAATCAAAATATAAAGATTTTTATTTATATTCAAAATGTCTTTACAAATATTGGATTACTCAGTTTTCCTAAAGTATAACTATTCTGAAATTAGTTTTGTTAAGAAAAATCATTTGAGATAATGGACATGTGGATTAGGGGCACTCTCTACGATTTGTAATTTCTTTTCTTTTTTTATTTTTATTTTTGTTTAGTGAGAAAAAATTGTTAGACTGCTAATGAACACAATCTAATATAATTCTTCCAATACAACAACTTACGACATTGTGCGTGTAATCCAATAGTGCAAAGTTATTTTTTATAGAATTAACATTGGGAACGACAAATTAGTATCTTAATTCTTAAACATCGTAAAGACGAAAGCCGTCCTAGATTTGTTTTGGTTTGAGATCGAAAAATATGGAATTATGTTAAAGTGACTAATTTGTCCTTAACAATGGTTTTACTAATATATCCTTTTCAATGTTTATTATTATTATTATTATTATTATTATTATTATTATTATTATTATTATTATTATTATTATTATTATCACATAAATATAGCAATATATTTAATTTTGTTTTTGGAAAATATGAAATTTTACTGTTCAATTGGGGTCTTATTAAAAAAAAAAAAAAAAAAAAAAAAAAAAAAAAAAAAAAACAACGGTACAGCGAAAAGTAAAAGTTTTGGGTTATATATATATATATATATATATATATATATATATATATATATATATATATATATATATATATATATATATATATATATATATATATATATATATATATATATATATTAAGTTATAATATTTTTGTCATGCACATTAACTTTATTTTTTATGTAGTCGGCATCCTATATGAAAAATAAAAGACATAAAAACTAATGATCATAAATCAAAAAGAAAATTACAAATTTAAC